CTATCGGACTGCACTGACTCAGCCTGAATGGCAGCTTGCGATGGCCGAAGAGCTTGCTGCCCTTGAGCGCTCTGGCACATGGGATCTGGTCTTCCTCCCTTCCGGTGTTCGTCTCATCACCTGCAAGTGGGGCTACAAGATTAAGACTCGCTCTGATGGTTCTCTTGAGCGCTACAAAGCTCGTCTTGTGGCCCGTGGTTTTCAGCAGGAGCAGGGACGCGATTATGATGAGACTTTCGCTCCTGTGGCCCACATGACCACTGTCCGCACTCTCCTTGTTGTGGCTTCTGTTCGTCAGTGGTCCATCTCTCAACTTGATGTCCAGAACGCCTTTCTAAATGGTGAGTTGCGTGAGGAGGTTTATATGCAGCCCCCATCGGGGTACTATGCTCCTGATGGTATGGTCTGTAGGCTTCGCCGCTCCCTCTATGGCCTTAAACAGGCCCCTCATGCCTGGTTTGAGCGCTTCGCCTCTGTGGTTACTGTTGCTGGTTTCTTGCCCAGTGACCATGACCCCGCGCTGTTTGTCCACACGTCTCCTCGTGGTTGGACTCTTCTCCTTCTCTATGTTGATGACATGATCATTACTGGTGACGACTCTCAGTACATTGCCTTTGTTAAGGCTCGCCTTCGAGACCAGTTCCTCATGACTGATCTTGGTCCTCTTTGCTATTTTCTTGGGATTGAGATCTCCTCGACCTCTGATGGCTTCTACATCTCCCAAGAACAATATATTCAGGATCTTCTTGCTCGTGCTGCTCTTGGTGATGAGCGCACAGTTGTGACTCCTATGGAGCTCAACATTCAGCTTCGTGCCTCTAATGGTGACCCTCTTCCTAATCCCACTCGCTATCGTCACCTCGTTGGCAGCCTTGTCTATCTGGCTGTTACACGCCCTGACATCTCCTATCCTGTCCACATCCCGAGTCAGTTTGTTTCAGCCCCCACCTCTGTCCACTATAGTCACCTCCTCCGTGTTCTACGATATTTTCGTGGCACGATCTCTCAGCGCTTGTTCTTTCCTCGCTCCAGCTCTCTTGAGCCCCATGCCTACTCTGATGCTACCTGGGCTAGTGATCCCTCTGATCGACGATCGCTGTCTGCTTACTGTGTCTTTCTTGGTGGCTCTCTTATTGCCTAGAAGACCAAGAAGCAGACTATAGTTTCTCGCTCGAGTACAGAGGCTGAGTTGCGGGCCATGGCTATGTTGACGGCTGAGGTGATCTGGTTATGGTGGTTACTTGAGGATTTTGGTGTGTCTGCTACTATCTCAACTCCTCTACTGTCCGACAGCACCGGTGCTATCAGTATTGCGCGTGACCCGGTGAAGCATGAGCTCACCAAGCACATTGGTGTGGATGCCCACTTTGTGCGTGCTGCTGTGCAGGATCAGACTCTCGCTCTTCACTATGTGCCCTCGGAGTTACAGTTGGCTGACTTCTTCACGAAGGCACAGACTCGAGCACAACATGGGTTTTTCCTCTCCAAACTCAGTGTTGTTGATCCACCATAAGTTTGAGGGGGGTGTTAGATGTGTATGTGTATATTTCATTGTGTACATCCCCATTGTATAAGGGGTTTTTCTGCACTTTACCATATCTGTATATGTACTGGCCATTGGCCCTCTGTAAAGCTCAGTTGCTCATTCACAACAGGTCCCATCTCAACACCTCTCTCCAAGCAGCACACGATGCTGATGCTCGAAAATACTCATCCGAATCTTTGCGATGCATGTTCAGCCTCTTACCAACAAACATGCCCATGGAAAGCCATGGTTGGCAAGCAATCAAGCTAAGGCCGGATGACAGCTGGGCCATGTTTCGTCAACCATACATAACCAATGGGAAACACTAATCTAGTGAAGGATTTGCTTGTTTTCAATGGGCTCACTTGAACACAATGCAGAGTGGCCAGCTCTGCCACTGAGGTGCCAGCAAAGATGGTCCTTGAGGCTGCTGCAGGTGGCATCCTAGCTCGATCAAAAGGATCTTAACACCTGCATCATCCAGGTGTCGCGGACGATGGGGAATAGTCAATCCTCGTCTAACCCACAAGCATAATGCGGCTGTCTGAGCTTGAAATTGCTAGTTTACGTGACCCCGAGACAAGAGACTTCCACATGTTATATCATCCACTTGTGGTCACAACGAGGGCGAGCATGCGAGAGACCATCCTGAGTGGAGCTCCACGGCGCGGAGTCGTGCCTTACGCGTTGTTGTCTTTCTTATTACATCCCGCCGAAGTCACAATGCACCTTCCCTGCAAAGAGAAAGGTAATACTTTATTTTCGGCTTGTTTTGGTAGGTGAGAACAAAGCAATACATGGAATTTGTATACATCATTTGATATGACTAAAACACACCCAGTGGTAACCATAATAAATTTTGATGCTTGCACAGCCTGTGCAGCACCTAGTTAATTGAGCAAAGCAACAAACGTAGCTTCAAAAGACGGAGGAACCGAGGAAGCATGGGTGCATGTTCATGGACACCAGTTGTGAACTTCTTCATGGTTGTCGTCCAATGGAGGCCGAAGAATTTATAGAAACGTGGAAGCCACTCGGGTCCCGTACAGTGTACAGGTGTCCATCCAGCCAGGCTATTCCACGATGTAGCTTCGGTCTTCAAATATACATTGCACACCTTTGTTGTCGCTGAGAACTGAAATATGCACAGGAATTCAAACTGGAGATGTCTTGAACCTTGGTGTTGAGGTGTCCGTCCATATTCCTGTGGGGCTAACATTGTTGTGAGAAATATGACACATATCCTAGTTCCTGTAAAGTTGTTCAAGATACATGACTAGCATCTCTTCCAGTTTTATCCAGTAAACTGCCTACCAAACCACAAGAAAGTTACAGTGCAATTTGTCGAATGGGTGTATTTTATTTGGATTCAGCATTTGCGGCTGCACCAACGCTCTCCTTCGTGGTGTGTCGCTATCTTCCCTATCTTGAAGGAATTTTCGCCACGCCCCATCGTATGCATTGACGGCGGCATATCAAGTAGTTCTACCTCGATACTAATGGTGAAGCGGGGACACACGATAATATCACTATGAGCCCCCATTCGACCTCCCCATTTGTTAACAACGATGAGTTTGCGCATCTGGTGGCAAACCAGCTTCGGCTCCAGCTACCAGCAGTTCTCTACCCTAATACATATACGAATAAATACAGCACGAAGTGGTCTCCTTGAGAAGATGAAAGATGTTCGTCGGATGCTAATCCAATGGCGCTATCTATAATGATAAATTTGACTGCAATACTGTCTTTCTTTTGCTTTGCTCCTTTATATTACGATACGATTACGTTATGCCAGGTTGTCATGCTGACGAGCAAGCTTGCCAGGTGAGCTATATATTGGGGAGAGATTCATGTTTTGTCTTAATTCCATCCAGAAGTTGAACCCTGACTCCCTGAGGCACCATTTTGCTATGCAAATGGCGGCCCAACCAACACGCCACAGTAGCCTAGATGAGATCGAAGACCTGTCGCAACTTCAGCCTAATGCAAATGGAAATAGCCAAGGCGAGGATCCTCAGCCTCCCGAGACGGAGAGCTATGAGCTCATGCGGGACCTCAGCAAGTACATCCTGCTGCTGGCAACGCTGGTGGCCACGGTAACATACGCAGCGGGGTTCAACCCGCCGGGGGCGTCTGGCAGGAGACCGTCGCCGCCTCGGACCAACTCGCCGGCGACTCCATTATCCGGACCACCAGCTACGGCCGGTACCTGGTGTTCTTCTACTGCAACGCCACCGCGTTTGCCTCGTCGCTCGTGATCATCGTCCTCGTCCTCTTCCTCACGCTCCTGAAGAAGCAGCTGCTCCAACTCAAGCCGCTGCAGGCGGTCATGGTGGTGGACCTGCTGAGCGTCATGGGGGCCTACGCCGCCGGGACCTGCCGGGACAAGACCACCACCATCTACTCCTCGGTGCTGGTGGCTGTCGTCATCGCCTACCTCACTTACCAGATGGTGATGGCCTGGCGGTTGCCAGATAATGAGAACAGGAACAACGACGCACGGGCAGCACCGCAGCAGTGGACAAGAAACGGCTCCGAAAGGTCCTGATGCTGCTCGCGACGTTCGCGATGAGCGTGACGTACGTCGCCGGGATGAGCACGCTGGGCGGCTTCTGGGACAACACCGAGAACGGTCACCGGCCAGGCGACGCCATCCTCAAGGACAGCCACAACAAGCACCTGACGGTGTTCTTGTGCTTCAACACCATGGCATTCGTCGCATCGCTGCTCATCATCGTGGTGCTTCTGGACAGGAAGCCCCGGGAGAATGAGGCCTATGGGTGCATCGCCGTTGCGCTGATCAGCCTCGTCGGGGCATATACCGCCGGCAGCTGCAGGGAGACCGACACCACCATCTATGTCTCCAGCCTGGTTGGTGCCGTCCTGATATTCATGGCATTGCTCCAAGGTGTTGTTTATTTGAAAGGAGATGTAGCTGCTGCTGGAGGTGCCGAACAAGAAAGAAGAACATCCTGCTTCAGGACCACGCTAACAAATGTCCAGGCTAAGATTGCAGGATGGTTGCAAAGTCCGGCGGAGACTAGTCAGGGCAGGTATGTACGACCATAGCACATTAATTATACCCTCTTCAGTTGTTATCTTTCCTCTGCACATCACTGCCTTCTATTATTTCCGCTTGAAGTTAATCTCTGTTTATCTCTCTGCAATTACTTAGGGACGCAGCGCAGCAGGCTCGCTCCCTTGTTCTATTGCTAGCCACTCTTGAGGACGTGGGCATAGCCCAGTGGTTGGGGGCGCATGATTGTAAACCCAACGACCAGAGTTCGATCCACGTCGGGGACGAATTTCTGGAATTCTCATGAGGGATGCTTCTTCTATATCAATAAACCGTGGGTGCTAGTGCCCATGGAGTTTCATTTTTTTTTTATTGCTAGCCACTCTTGCTGCAACCATCACTTACCAAGCCGGGCTGGACCCTCCCGGTGGCGTCTGGCCGGATAACGGGAACGGCCACATGGCCGGTGACCCGATCCTCCTCACTGTGAACGCTGGGCGGTACAAGGCCTTCTACTACTGCAACTCCGTCGCCTTTGTAGCCTCCTTGGTGGCCATCATCCTGGTCCAAAGCAAGGTTATGCTCGAGACCCACGTGCTCGAGGCAGCCATGGTACTGGACTTGTTTGGCCTCATCGGAGCATATGCTGCAGGAAGTTCTCGGGACTTGAGCACCTCCATTTATGCCATGACCTTGGCGGGTGCTGTCCTAGTCTATGTAGTGATCCATGTTGTCTTCTTCACACTGAACCACGGCGACCCCACCCCAGAGGAAATTAAGTCTGTGGACAAGAGGCGCAAGCGGTTGCTCCTTTTCGCAGTATTGGCAGCGACCATCACTTACCAGGCTGGGCTGACACCTCCGGGTGGCTTCCGGCTCCAGGATGATGGGTCTAGCGGGCACCAGGCAGGGGACCCGGTCCTCTTCTACAATTTTCCCCGCCGCTACACAGCCTTTTTCTACTGCAATTCGGTGAGCTTCATGCTGTCCATTGCCCTCATCATATTGCTCGTGAACCCCCATTTATACAGGCCAGCCATACGAAGCTATGCGCTCGCTATTTGCACGGCGGTGGGCATGTTTGGCCTGATGGGTGCCTATGCTGCCGGAAGCACGCAACATCTGAAAACATCCATCTACATCTTCGCGCTGGTGGTTGTGGTCCTCTTCGTCATAGCTGTACTGCTACTAGTGTTCTTAGATAACAGAAATGCAAACGTGACCAGTCAACCGAGGCCAGATAATGATGATGACGAAGAACGAAAGACAAAACAAGCCAAGCGCAAATACCTGATGCTGCTAGGAATCCTTGTGGCGAGTGTCACCTACCAGGCTGGCCTAGATCCACCTGGCGGAGCTTGGCAGCACAGTGGGAGTGGGTACGATGCAGGCAACCCGATCATGCATGACAACCAGAGGCACCGTTATCTCGCCTTCTTCTACAGCAACTCCACGTCCTTCGTGGCATCCATTGTTGTTATCATCATTTTGCTACTGGAGTGGAAGGACGGGAAGAGATGGTCGCTCAAGGTCATGAACACGACCATTGTGCTGGATTTGCTCGCTCTCCTAGTGGCCTACGCAGCAGGCTCCAGCAGGGGGTGGAAGACGTCTGTGTATGTCGTCGGACTAGTTATCGCAGTGCTGGCATATGTTGCAGTCCATATAGTGCTGGCAATCTCATGTTGTCATAGCCCGCGGGAAGAGAACAGTGTGGATCCTGCACAGGTAGCTCCAGCGGCACCCATTTCTGTTTGATTATTAGTGTGTTCTGCAGCTCTGTTCATACAAGACAGTAGCAGTAAAGCCTACAATTCTTATACACCTATCAAAATGTCAAGACAGGTGATCTTTTTGTATATCTGTTTCCCCTTGTATCCTAATTTAATTTATTGTTTTTATGTAATACAAATAGAAAGGTGGAAACCCGCATTTTTTGTGGTGTGTGGCTTCTCTTTTATTTATAGTTTATTTCTATTCTTAGTTTCTGGCGGTGGCTTGTCCAGTCTCTGCTATGCCCTATTCCTCCCCTTTTCTAGAATTGCAGTGTACTTGATGGTTGATGTAACTGGACATTTTAAATCCCTCAAACTAGCTATTCTCTCCGATCCATATTAATTGTCGGTGGTTTACGTACTAAACCAGTGACAATTAATATGGATCGGAGGGGGTAGTATATTTGACCATGATGGCAAAAACTGTAAATTTTTGCCTCAGGCATATTTGGACTTGGGTTGGGTGTAAACCTGAATCCAGTGGATGTGGCAGGTTTGCAGGGCTATGGAGCTATGTATGGTTCTACATTTACAAGATTCGAAGACTACCTGTTTGGGACTGCTCCGCTCCTTCAAATTCAGCTCCACACTAGAAAACGCAAGCCAAACGGGGTATCTCCATGATATGCCGCTCCGCCAAAAAAAAAAATCTGGGGTACAACTCCCTGTTTTTTGTGAAGCTCTTCAGGGGGTGCTCCAAATAAGTCTAAGCTGGAGTTGTGGGAAACTACCCACCACTGCCACCAATAAGTGGATACCCCTTCGTTTCTCCCCACATCATCCAATCAAATAGACCCTTTCCACCAAATTTCCCATTCTTGAAGCGGGAGCTAGCTGGAAGCCAAACATTCTCCTTGGTGGAGCTGCAACTCCTGTATGAAACTGCTCCAAAGTGAATTTGGTGGAGTAAAACTGATTATGATGGAGCGGAGCAGTCCCAACCAGGCCTAAGAGCAGTCTTCATTATTATTAACACACAAAAAAGGATCACTTGCACAAATATCTCAAGACAACCTGCCAATCAAGTATGTAAACATATGTCGCATTCATGCTCAGTTAATCTTGTTCGACATGTATAGTCCCCTTTTCTGTATACCCCATTGTATAAGGGGCTTCCTGCACTTTACCACACATGTACATGTATTGGCCCTTGGCCCCCTGCGAAAGTTAGTTGCTCATTATCCAACATGGTATCAGATGCTAGGTTAGCCTCCCTCCCGCACAATGCAACTCCATGCGTGCTCCACCCCAGCCGCCGCTGCTGCTATGCCCCGTCCCTAGTCTGCCTCGTCCCGGCCGCCCCTGCTAGGATCCGCCCGCCATCGATTGTCTCCGCCCATCACTGGCCGTCCCTGCCCGGATCCGACGCCGCTGTAGCCTGGATTCGCCCCCGACGGCCTCCTCTCAACGCCGTCCGCCCCTCCTCGTCTCGTTGCCGCCGCCCCCTCCTCGTCCGGCCGCCGCCGCCTGCCTGTCCGGCCGCTGCCGCCCCCTCCTCGTCCGACAGCCGCCGCCGCCTGCCTCGTCCGGCCACCGCCGCCTCCTGCCCGTCCGGCCGCTGGTTGATGTCCGCCGCCAGGCCGCTGCGTCCAAGCCGATCCCCACTCATGCTCTGGGCTCTGGTGTGCCTCTGCCCGATCTAGATCAGTCCTCCTGTGACGGTTGACTTCCAAAAAAATGGAGAGCTCATCATGTCTTCTTCGGGCTATGTTGTTCCTCGGTGCTCGGTGATCTTCGATGGCACTAACTATGCTGAGTTTGTGGGTTTCATGTGTATCCACATGCGCGGTCTTCTCTTGTGGGGCGTTCTTTCTGGCAAGGTCCCCTGTCCGTCATGCCCTGTTGCTCCCGTGGCTCCTACCCCGCCGGTGCCGCGTATTCTTGCTACTGATGCTTCTCAGGCTGATCGGGATGCAGGCAAGGCTCTCGATGATGTTGCGGTTGATGCTTATGATCAGTAGGTCTCAGCTTATTCAAATGCTTTTTCTGTCTACCGCGATGATCTATCTGCTTACACTCAGTGGTGCAATGATGATGCTCGTGTTGCTGCTGTTCTCACTGCGAGTGTCCTTCCTCAGTTTGCTTCGGAGTTCATGGGCCTCAGCACCATTGCAGTGATGTGGTCTTATCTCTGTCAGCGCTATCAGCCCTCTGGTGATGCTCTCTACTTATCTGTGATGCGTCAGGAGCACGCTCTTCAGCAGGATGACTCTTCTTTTGATGAGTTCTACTCACAGAGCTCTGCCATCTGGCGCCAGCTTGACTCTCCGGACAGTTGTTTGTGGTGCTTGTCGTTGCTGCTAGACCATGCGATTAGACTTGGAGTTTCAGTGTGTCCATGAGTTCTTATCTCGCCTCCGTTCCGAGTTTGAGCCTCGACGTGCTCACTTGCTTCCTCACGGCCGTGTTCCTATCTCAGAGGTGCTTGCTAAGCTTCGCGCTGAGGAGACCCGTCTTCGTTCTGCTGGGTTGCTTGCGGTTCCCTCTGTGTTGGCTGCCCGAGCTCCTGTGTCGTCTGCTTGCCTCACCACTCCACTGCTCCTGCCCACACCTTCAGGAGGGGTGGGTCGCCCATGCAGAGAAGGACCGGTCGCATCATGACACTTTCTGTGGCTACTGCTCCAGGCCAGGTCACCCAAAGTCTGACTATTGCCAGAAGCAACGAGACCAGAGGCGCTCTTCTTCCAGTGGGACTCATGCGTCTTCCTCGACTCTGTCACTCACTGACCAGGACATTGTGCGGCTCAAGCGCATACTGGCTTCCTCTGGCTCTTCATCAACGGGTTCCGCTGCCACTATGACTGCTTCCATCTCCCCATCACCGCCGGCACCTACACAGTCAGGTACATCTTCGTGGGTTCTGGGTTCTGGAGCTTCTTTTCATATGTCTTCTGATTCTTCCACGTTATCTTCTCTTCGACCTCTTAATTCTCCTATTCATGTTCTCACTGCCGATGGCACACCCCTTCCTATTGCTAGTCGTGGCACTCTTTCTACTCTGTCTTTTTCTGTTCCTAGTGTTTCTCATGTTCCCCGTCTTACCATGAATCTTTTTTCCGCTGCTCAACTTACTGATTCTGGTTGTCGTGTCATTCTTGATACCGATTCTTGCTCTGTTCAGGATCGTCGCACCAAGGCTCTGGTTGGTGCTGGCCCTCGGCGTCGTGAGTCAGAGGGCCTTTGGGAGGTTGACTGGCTTCGCATTCCTTCCGTTGCCACCACTTCTGCCAGTTCTCATGCTCTTAATGCCTCCTCTTCTGTGTCCTTCTAACAGTGGCATCATCGACTTGGTCATATATATGGCTCCCGCTTGTCATCGTTAGTGCGTCAGGGCCTCTTAGGGTCTGTCTCTGGAGATGTTTCTTTACATTGTGATGGTTGTTGACTTGGCAAACAGATCCAGTTACCTTATCCTAGCAGTGAGTCGGTATCTCAGCGTCCTTTTGACTTAGTTCACTCTGATGTTTGGGGTCGTGCTCCCTTTGATATCACTACTATGTTCTGTTTATTGATAATTTCTCTCGTTATACTTGGCTCTACTTTATGAAATCTTGTAGCAAGGGTCTCTCTATATACAAGCGATTTGCTGCCATGGTTCACACCCAGTTTTCCACGCCCATTCGTACTTTTCGTGCTGACTTCGCTAGAAAGTATATCTCCAAGATGTTGCATGGTTTTCTTGCGGAACAAGGTACTCTTGCCCAGTTCTCATGTCCTGGTGCCCATGCTCAGAATGGCGTTGCAGAACGTAAGCATAGTCATCTGCTTGAGACGGCTCATGCGCTGATGATCGCCGCCTCTCTTCCACCACACTTTTGGGCTGAAGCCATTTCCGCATCCACCTATGTCATCAACATTCAGCCATCCTTGTAGGGTGGTATTCCTATGGAGTGTCTCACTAGTCATTCTGCTGACTACTCAGCTCTTCGTATGTTTGGACGTGTGTGCTATATTCTTCTTGCCCCGCGAGAATGCACCAAATTGACTGCCCAGTCGGTTGAGTGTGTTTTTCTTGGTTACAGTGATGAGCACAAGGGCTATAGATGTTGGGATCCTGCTGGTCGTCAACTGCGCATTTCACGTGATGTGACTTTCGATGAGTCTCGTTCTTACTACCCGCGTCCTTCCTCCTCGACCTTTTCTGTGGACGATATTTCTTTCCTTCTCCTTCCCGATACACCCTCTTCTATGCCTCATGTCTCACCCCTTCCTCCAGCACGTCTCACTCTTCCTCATCCACCACCGACACCACCTTCCCCTACATCCTCCTCCCCACCCTCATCATCCACCTCTCCACCATCCTCTCCGGTATGTCGGCCTCTCTCTCTCCTATTCCTCTCAACTACACTCGCCGCCCTCGTGTTGAGGATGATTCTACTGATGCGCCTTCCACTTTCAGAGCGCCTCCTTTCACGCCTCCACCGGTTCATAACCTCCGTGCTCGGCCTCGCCTCCTGTCGTGGATTTGTCACGGCAGATGTCCTTAGTGTCAGGACTTAGTCGCGAGGCCAACGCATCTATGCGGTAGCTTGAGAAGGGTTGAGCGGAATCGAGAGACGCAACACAAGACAGGGATTTAGACAGCTTCGGGCCCCGGGAAACATCATCCGGTAAAAACCCTACATGCTGTTTGAGGCTAGGTCTCATTATCATCACGAGGGAGTCGCCGTAAACCAGCTCTCCTCTTTGTGTCTAGCCCTAAGATTGTTTCTTCTTGCTTGTCGCCTCTCCCTCCTTGGGGAACCCTGCCCCTCCTTATATATGTTGAAGGGGCGGGTTACATGTGGAGTCCTATTAGGATTAGGACTAGTCTATCTCTAATACAAACTGGATACAAGTCCTGGTCTTAACTCCTTGTAAGGTAAATATTCCTCATGCCTTTCCTCTTAAACCGACCCACAATAGTTGAACCGGCCTTCATGAAATGCCAGACGGGCCACCGGGTCTTGTCGCTCCTCGTACCCGTCCGTCGGGTCACCAGTG